GGTTTCCTGCCTTCCAGAGCCCCTCTCCAGCCAGCCTGTATTGTGAGGATACAATGCATGCAAAGGATTCACAATAGGACAGACAGACCTTAAAATTCCCCCAGTGTTTCAACGTTAATAAATCTTCTCTGCTGGCTTAACGATGAATTTTCAGCCTCCAGACACCCCAAAATGTCCTACTGGGATTCATGCCGCTCATACTTGCCAACTGTCCCTGATGGACTAGGGCAGTTCTAGGATCTAAGAGCTTGTCTATTAAAATGTCCTAATTTTCTGCATTTACCAGCTTTATTTGTTTATTTTATTTATTACAGGTAACTTTATTCTAAATATTGCTATTGTTCATGAATTCTCAGTGGTTATGTTGTGGCCAACCCAATCAATGCCTATTGGGCTTTATGGTGTCCGTTTATGAACCAGCAGTAATAGATCGCTGCTCAGTTCTCCTGTGAATGCCGTTTATGAAGCATATGTAGATCAGTTCTCCAAACGAAGGGAGAACGGTCTACAAACGCTGGAAAATGGCTGATTTTACTATAATCTCGCGAGATTACAGTAAAAGATCAGTTTACTAAGCAGAGGTAAATTATCTCTGCTTAGTTTTCGGTGAACACAGATCTCCAGAGAAGGGCTGAACATGTTCTCCTGGGTGTCATAAACTGTGAATGACCAGAGAATAGATGTGATCCTCTGAATCTCAGCTATTCTGTGTGTCAAAAATGGACACCTATGTGTCAGGGACATTCATACCAAAAACTGAAGTTAGATGTATATTCCACCTTTTTGCAAAACCTTTTTCAAGTGAATGGGCTGCTGTGCCTGAGTAAACGTGGGCCACACAGCCCACAATAGTGTGAATCGAGCCTGAAATGTGGTCACAGCAGCCCATTTAAATGGATACAGCTTTTCCTTGTCTTACCCCAATGGACAGTGAAGGAGAAGCAGCCATATGTGACATGGTGACAACAAGGAAACACAGTTGGGAGACAGTTTTTGCCTTAGTACCTTTATGGCACAATCATTAGTTACTATGTTTTTGAAAGATTTCAAAATATTGAACTTTTAAAATTAAATTAACATTTTAAGGCTTTTTGAGATTGTAGAGATTGGGTTTGGATTTACTTTAAAGAAGAACTCCATGAAAAAAAGAGCATTTAAACTCTGGTTCACCGAGTACTGATAGTATAGCTTCCACTATACTCCAGGCGCTCCAAGAGCAGCTGCTCTGACTGCCCCTCTTCCCCCCTCTCGTGTCCATTCACAGAAAGCTGTGGATTTTGTGAATAGGTTCATAGAATGCAAAGCATTCTGTGATTGGTCAGGGGAGAGGAGGTGAGGGGGTTAAAGTGCAGCTGCAAACAACAATGGCTGCTGTGTAGGACACCCGTACCTAGAGTGTGGGAGCTTAACTCCTTAAAACTAACCTTAAAGCAGAACTGCACTCTATCTGAGCACCACAAACCAAAAATGCTATTTATTATTTTTTAACAATCAAAGCAAACTCACCAACCCATCCATGTCTTCATGCTTTATTTTGTTGAGAAATCACTTAACCCTCTCCCAGGCATTTCTGACCATGGCCATTTTGAGTAAGGGCAGATAATGAATGTAGCATTTACTTCCTGTAATCTGGTGAAACAGGAAGGCATTTCTGTGCACAGTGGCTAAATGGTTAGCACTTCCGCCAGCCAGTACTAGGGTCGTTGGTTCAAATCCCAGCCACAGCACCTCCTACCTGGAGTTTGCATGTTCTGCCTGTGTGGGTTTCCTCCAGGTATGCCAGTTTCCTCCCACACTCCAAAGACATGCTGGTAGGTTAATTGGATCCTGTCTAAAATTGGCCCTTGTATATGAATGTGAGTTAGGGACCTTAGATTGTACACCCCTTGAGGGTTAGGGACTGATGTGAATGTACAATATATATGTAAAGCGCTGCGTAAATTGACGGCGCTATATAAGTACCTGAAATAAATTAAATAAGTGAAGTATTCTAGGTCAACTTTAATAAAAAGCAGTTGAAAACACTTACAATGTGGTAGTACAAACAGGCTCTAATGTAATCCGTCAGTAGCAGGGCTCTGTCCTCTGAGCAATGGAGCCACTGTGCCAGCCAGCAGCTGCAGGGGGAGCTTGAGGAGAGGTGTTAAAGATGGCCGTCGCTCTATTCGGACCACTGGAATGCATGCTGTCCATGGACTGGAAGTGAGGTGGGCATGGAATGGTGATGTGTTTTGGAGCATGAGCAGAGCTCCTTCTTCAAGACCAATCCAGTCTATGGACAGCGTGCATTCCAGCGTGTGCTCCAGAGGTCCAAACAGGCAACCATCTTTAACACCTCTCCTCAAGCCCCCCCTGCAGCTGCTGGCTGGCACAGTGTGTATAGTGTTGCATTACAGTGGGCAAGTGTTAGACCCTCCATTAAAGTATACATAAACCCTCACCTTGTAAAACAACTCATACAGTTTAAAATAGAAATGAAAGGTAAAACATTTGTGTATAAATATAAAAAACATTATAAATACCTTTTTTTATAAGTGATCACTTACCCTCTGTTGCATAAGAGTTGGGGGAGAGAAATAGCATCACACTGATCTTCCCTGTGAACGGCTGTGCAGGAGGCATGTCAGCACAAGTCTGACCATTGGAGCAGAACAGGCTGAGTTCCCAGCACAACTAGGGAACTGACCTCTCCTGCTTAGTGTGGTCAGTTTTTTAATAGGAAAGCAGAGGGACTGGCAGGAACACCATGTATTTCTCACAAAGGAAGCAAAGCAAAGAGAACAGGATACTTTTTCATACAAGTACATGGTACACCAGGCACATATCAGGAAGATGAAATGTTGGGTTTACATATAAGATTTCATTGCTTTCTGTGTCATCATTGGGGAATTCACCCCTCTACTTTTACCATTGTCACCAGAAGTAAGGGAAGATCTTTCAAGAGGGGCAATTGTCCGAGGGACAGCTATCTAGGAGGAGAACTCCCCTCATTTTGGGAGACTTCCTTTAACCTCCAGTTGCCTTTCTGGGACAGGAAGTAAAGACAAATGTCCCCAATGGTACACAAACAAAACCCTGCTGGGTGTTTAAACAATTCCATATTTTATCCAAAACAATTAACTGGTCCACAGCTATCCTATAGCAGATGTACTGCTTTAGGGCAGCCACTCTGTGGAAAATCACATATCGGTATCAGCGGCAGCTCACCATAGAGTATAGCAATGCTCTGCAGAAACAAAAATGAACAAACAGGGGTGCCAACCTAGGTGTAGTATTTAGGAACTACTCACAAAAGTAGTATGTCTTTAAGTATGTAGGTAGAGAGTATCTGAGCCCAATGTAGGTGTCCTGAAAGGCTGATGGTGATCCACCACTTGTCAGTGTGAGATGGCCATGTCAGACTGCAGGCTGTCAGCTGTGTGAGCCGTAATGAGCGTGGAACGCACAGCAGACTGGGCCAAAGGCAACATTCAAGACAAGACAGGTGACGCGTTTCAAAGCTTCCGCTTCTTCTTCAGACCGATCAGCATGTGCTGGCCAATGGATGATATCTGGCACATGCTGATCGGCGGAGAGAGAGACAGAACACAGCTGTCTATGTAATGAAGACAGAGCTGTGTCCTGTCAGCGGCAATGTGCTGGATTTTGTTTCCTTACAAAGCAGGGAAGAAAATCCAGCACCTCACCTAGTAAAAACACATGAAAATATACACATAAACACTGCTTAGGCACACAGTTAACCCTTTGATCACCCTAGATGTTTAACTCCTTCCCAGCCAGTGTAGTTAGTACAGTGATAGTATATATTGTTAGAACTGATCACTGTATTAGTGTCACTGGTTCCCACAAAGTGTCAGTTAGTGTCAGACTGTCAATATCGCAGTCCTTCTATAAATTGCTGATCACTGCCATTACTAGTATTACTAGTTAAAAAAAAAAAAAAAAATCCAGTATATATACACCTTAGTTTGTAGACGCTATAACGTTTGCACAAACCAATCAAATATATGCTTGCTGGGATTTTTTAACAAAAATATGTAGCACAATACATATTGGCCTAAATGTATGAAGAAATTTTATTTTTTTTTTTTTTTTATTGGATATGTTTTATAGCAGAAAGTAAAAAAATATTGTTTTTTTCCAAAATTGTCAGTTTATTTTTGTTTATAGTGCAAAACAGTGGTGATCAAATAGCACCAAATGAAAGCACTACTTGTGGGAAAAAAATGACATAAATTTCATTTATGTACAGTGTTGAATGACCACGCAATTGTCAGTAACCACTTGCCCTCCAGAGGATTTACCCCCCTTCCTTACCTGGCCATTTTTTGTGATACGGTGGTGCATTACTGTAACTGATAATTGCGCAGTCATGCAACGCTGCACCCAAATGAAATTTATGTACTTTTTCCCCCACAAATAGAGTTTTCTTTCGGAGGTATTTGATTTCGAAAAATAACTATTTTTTGACTTTTTGCTATAAAATATATCCTGCAAAAAAATTTAAAAAATCAAATTTCATAATAAATTTGGACCAAAAATGTATTCTGCTACATGTCTTTGCTAAAAAAACAAATCCCAAAATGTAAATTAATTGGTTTACATGCAAGTTATAGCGTCTACAAATGGTGGTATATATACTGGAATTTACATTTTTTTTTATACTAGTGATTAGTGACTTGTAGCAGGACTGTGGGACTGCAATGGGTATTCTGACACTGGGGGAACTAACTGCCACTGACATCCCCAGTGACACTAATACAGTGATCAGTGCTAATAAAAAGCACTGACACTGTACTGGCAGGCACTGGACTGGAACTGGGCAGGAAGGGGTTAATATCTGGGGCGCTCAAACGATTAACTGTGTGCTGTTTTACTATGTGTTCTGAGTGTGTTTTACTAAGGAAACATACTGTTTTGTATTGCTATGCAGAGCAATACAAAGCAGCATGTCGATGCTGACGGGAGAGATGTGTGTTGTTTACACACAGACGTCTCACCCTTCACTCTTCCTTGGCGATCGCCATGTGCCGGCGTGGAATCTGCGGCTGGGACCTGGTGATCGACAATTGTAGCCGCCTATGGTGGTGCGTGCGCACATGCACACCCCCTACCTGGAAATGCAAAGTCACGTATATACAGGGGCGGACTGACCATTTGGAAGCTCGGGCACTGCCCGAGGGCCCGGGGTCAGTAGGGGGCCCCATGAGATGCCCCTGGTACCTTTTTCATAGACTTTTTTGAGTTTGGGCAAGGACACAGGGGCCCCATGATCCCCTATTGCCCGGGGGCCCCATGAGTTGTCAGTCCACCCCTGCGTATATACGTGATTTTGCACAGTCCTGCCGCCCTGTAGCAGTAGTTCTGTTATAGGGTGGTGGGGAATCGGTTAAAGTAACACAGTGCCATATAGAAAAAAAATGGCTTGGTCAGGAAGGGGGTAAATATTCTGGAGGTCAAGTTGTTAAGAAGTTTTGGCTATACCTACATTATAATGGGACATGCATGTATCAACATGTATAAATACATCAGTGGTTCATATAGTGAACTCGGTGTAGAGCTATTCACCCTGAGGTCATCACAGAGGACAAGGGGGCACTCTTTACATCTGGAGGAAAATAAATTTAATCTCCAAACACGGAAAGGTTTCTTCACAGTGAGAGCTGTGATAATGTGGAATAGACTCCCTCAAGAGTTAGTTCTGGCCAGCTCAGTGGATTGCTTTAAAAAAGATCTGGATTCTTTGTTGGATACACAGAATATAACTGGTTACTAACATTTATAGGTAAAGTTGATCCAGGGAATATCCGATTACCTCTCGGGGGATCAGAAAGGAATTTTTTACCCCTGCAGGAGCAAATTGGTTAATTTTTTGCTGGTTTATTTTGCCTTCCTCTGGATCAACTGTGGGTATAGGATTATAACTTTTTTTTTTTCAATGGTTAAACTGGATGGACTTTTGTCTTTTTTCAGCCAGACTAACTATGTATTTACTATGTACTATTAACGCACCACAACATTGTGAATCCAGCCTAATCCTCCCCCTCCTAGAAGCTTCAACACCTAAAATCGGTATGCTTTTTGTTATAGTGGGTCATTAGGACTTTGACTTGTTTTGCTAGAAGACCCTCCAGCAAAGAGCTACTGGTGCCAAATCTCATGCTTTTTTCCACTACTGTATGATGGTGACCTGCACAACAAAGAATGCATGTCAAATATTTCTGTTTCAGTTTAGACAAGGAAATTTGTAAAATAACCATTAAAGTATATAAGTATGTAGTTTGTTAATTTGGGGTTTTGTTTTATGTTTACTTTTTAGGTTTACTGTTTTTTTTTTATATGCCCATCCTCTCTTCATGGTTTCAGGAGGTGATGGAAGGTCAGCATTCATTCAGGACACATGGATGGAACTTTTCAGTGCTTGTACAAGCTGTCACTTTAGAAGCCTTTGCCATATGCTGTCCTGTCTAGACAGTGAGAAACAGCGGATGACATGCTAGTACAACGCAGCAAAATGCAAAGGTGAAAATATTGACACAGCAAGCCCAACTGACTAATATGTGACCTTGCAGCATTGAGGGCCCACAACACAGCAGAGGATCAAGGTTCCAAAGCAGAACTGACCTATTTAATCCTCTCCTGCCCTACAGTGTGCCAGAAAATGTTGCATAGTACTTATCTGTCCTGAAGAAACAGCTGCTCCAATATCCTTCTGGTTGTTTGTCACATGACCAATGCCTTGGCAGTGACCACATAGGGGTTGATTTACTAAAACTGGAGAATGCAAAATCTGGTGCAGCTGTGCATGGTAGCCAATCAACTTCTAACTTTAGTTTGTTCAATTAAGCATTGACAAAAAGGCCCGGAAGCTGATTGGTTTCTATGCAGAGCTGCGCCGGATTTTGCATTCTGCCATTGAACACTGATCTTCCCTATGACAGCTGTCAAGTGATCAACCACTAGAGGTAGCCCAATATAGTTACTTTTGAAACCTTTTTTGTAGGCAGCTTGTAGGATATATCACACAGCAGAAGAAGTAAAGGGATTAGACTTAGAAAATTCTAACTATAAAATAAGTAACCTTTAAGGACCTTGTATCTTGGACATAAGCATAAACTTTTGCTCAGACTACAATAGAACTTTGCAAACAAAGCAGAAGGAAAGTGTAGGGCAAGACACCTGGTGTAGTTCTCAGGTTTGGTCACTAGGAACCCCCTGTGCTATTATGTGAACTTTAACTACTGGAGCCGCCTTGGGTTAATTTCCAGTGCTGCCCCTGCCACAGTAGGGCACCTTGGGTAAGGGTCTATTGCCAGCTAAGCATGGAACAGGTGTGAATGGATGCTGGGGTATAGACAGAGGGTGGTGGTAGGATGATAGTGTCAGAAAAGCCCTGCTCCTTACGTGTTGCATCCGTATGGGTCCCTCTGAGGAGGTCCTTACAGACGCAACACATAAGGGGTGGAGCTTTGCTGATACTATCATCCTACTGGCACCCTCTGGCTGATGATCGTTGCAGATACCGGCACCTTTCTGGCTGACGATCTCTTCAAATAGGGATAGTTGGCTCCATAACATCTGGTGGATGAATATTGCATTTAAGCTGGATGGATGGTTGTTTTTAATCCTAAAAAGCTGTTTGTTTCTGATTCATCTTAGTGTCTTTCTGTAAGCATTAGGTACAGTGCCTTGAAAAACATTTTGTCATGTTACAACCAAAAATGTAAATGTATTTTATTGGGATTTTATGTGCTAGAGTAGCACAAAGTGGCACATAATTGTGAAGTGGAAGGAAAATGATAAATGGTTTTCAAATTTTTTTCAAATAAATATCTGAAAAGTGTGGTGTGCATTTGTATTCAGCCACCTTTACTCTGATACCCTAAATAAAATCTAGTGGAATCAATTGCCTTCAGAAGTCAACTAACTAGTAAGAAGAGTCCACCTGTGTGTAAATTAATCTCAGTATAAATACATCAATTCTGTGCAGCCTTCATAGGTTTGTTAGAGAACATTAGGGAACAAACAGCATTATAAAGGCCAAGGAACACACCAGACAGGTCAGGGATAAAGTTGTGGTGAAGTTTAAAGCAGCATTAGGTTATAAAAAATATCCCAAGCTTTGAACATCTCACGGAGCACTGTTCAATCCATCATCCAAAAATGGAAAGAGTATGGCTCAACTGCAAACCTACCAAGACATGGCCGTCCACCTAAACTGACAGGCTGGGCAAGGAGAGCATTAATCAGAGGAGCAGCCAAGAGGCCCATGGTAACTCTGGAGGAGCTGCAGAGATCCACAGCTCAGGTGGGAGAATCTGTCCACAGGACAACTATTAGTCATGCACTCCACAAATCTGGCCTTTATGGAAGAGTGGCAAGAAAAAAAGCCATTGTTGAAAGAAAGCCATAAGAAGTCCCGTTTGCAGTTTTTGAGAAGCCATATGGGGGGCACAGCAAACATGTGGAAGAAGGTGCTCTGATCAGATGTGACCAAAATTGAACTTTTTGGCCTAAAAGCAAAACGCTATGTGTGGCAGAAAATTAGCACTGCACATCACCCTGAACACACCATCCTCACTGTGAAACATGGTGGTGGCAGCATCATGTTGTGGGGATGCTTTTCTTCAGCAGGTATAGGGAAGCTGGTCAGAGTTGATAGGAAGATGGATGGAGCCAAATACAGGGCAATCTTAGAAGAAAACCTGTTAGCGTCTGCAAAAGACTTGAGACTGGGGCAGAGGTGCACCTTCCAGCAGGACAACCACCCTAAACATGCAACCAGAGCTACAATGGAATGGTTTAGATCAGCCTTTCTCAACCAGTGTGCTCAGGTACCCTGGGGTGCCTTGAGGTCTCTTCAGGGGTGTCTTGGCACAATGTCTAAAAATTGCCCAAAACTTGTACATAAGCCAGCGGGTGGAACAAGCCTGCCTTTTAGTTACACAAAGTCACAGGTTTTCATTGTGCCCCGTTACAACCTTCTAGCCACCAGTATCCTGACAACCAATCACATCATCAGTTGATAAGAAGGATGTCTGCTGCCTGCCTGCACAGCACCTGGTTTGACCCTCCCCTGCCCCTCTCCTTCAGTGCTGGGGTCACATCAGCACAGTGATGGAGAAAAACTGAGGGAGAAGAGAAACATTGGAATACTACTCAGTACCAGTGTGCAAAAGTGTATTTGCATTGGAAGAATAACTCACCTCTAATGTTGGGTGTCCTACATGTGTGGAAATTGCTGCGTTATATAAAACTATTAGAATAGTGTTTCACATTTTAGAATGGGGTGCCTCAGGACTGTCCATAATATTAAAGGGTGCCTCGGGACTGTCCATAATTTTAAAGGGTGCCTTGAATGAAAAAAGGTTGAGAAACACTGGTTTAGATCAAAGCAAATTCCTGTGTTAGAATGGACCAGTCAAAGTCCAGACCTAAATCCAATTGAGAATCTGTGGCAAGACTTGAAAAATGCTCTTCACAAACGCTCTCCATGCAATCTGACAGAGCTTGAGCTGTTTTGCAAAGAAGAATGGGCAAAAATGTCCCTCTCTAGATGTACAAAGCTGGTAGAGAAATCGCCAAAAAGACTTGCAGCTGGAATTGCAGCAAAAGGTGGGCCTACAAAGTATTGACTCCAGGGGCTGAATACAAATGCAGCCTAATGCTGCTTTAAACTTCACCACAACTTTATCCCTGACCTGTCAGGTGTGTTCCTTGGCCTTTATAATGCTGTTTGTTCACTAATGTTCTCTAACAAACCTATGAAGGCTGCACAGAATTGATGTATTTATACTGAGAGATTAATTTACACACAGGTGGACTCTTCTTACTAGTTAGTTGACTTCTGAAGGCAATTGATTCCACTAGATTTTATTTAGGGGTATCAGAGTAAAGGTGGCTGAATACAAATGCACACCACACTTTTCAGATATTTATTTGTAAAACATTTTGAAAACCATTTATCATTTTCCTTCCACTTCACAATTATGTGCCACTTTGTATTGGTCTATCACATAAAACCCCAATAAAATACATTTACATTTTTGGTTGCAACATGACAACATGTGGAAAATTTCAAGGGGTATGAATACTTTTTCAAGGCACTGTATGTTTTTAACAAATAGAACAGAGAGCATTATTTTTGCTTGTTACATGTATGGTTAGAATTGCAAAACGAATGTCCCGTTGAACCTTGTGATATTGGTCAATTACGATGCCTAAACATGGATGTGGAGGTTAGACCTCCTGTAACGTACGAGGTCTTCATTTAAGGTGAGCTTTTAGGCTGGTCATGCA